AGCTCTCATGGTCCCACCTTGAGTATCCTGCAGGCTCATCATCTACAGTTACTTCAATCTTCACATGACAGGCCTCAAGGCTTTTTCTGGCTGCCCTCTGCAAATCCTCTCCAGCTGATCAATATGCTTCTTATCAATCCAATCTGTTACTGAGCCCTGTTGGTTCTACTTCCATCCCCTGCTGCCATCCCAGGTCAGGACCCTATTACAACCCCCCTTGAGGATTAACATCATCTTCTTACAGGTCTACGTGCCTCCACTCGCTCACCTCTCTGGCCCTTCCTTCATATCATTGCCAGAATAAACTTCCTCACGCATAGACCTTGTTATGTTACTTCTCTGCTCAAAAGTCTTCTACTTGCTTAGCGAGCAAAGATCAAATGTCCCTAAGCAGCACTCAACACTCCCCCTTTTACTCTGTCTTGATTAGATCACATCCGGACTGTTGTGTCCCATTACAGATGCCATATTTTAAGAGGACACTGAGCTAGAAGGCTTCACGGTTGGCCAACCACGACAGCAGAAGGATTCATACCATATGAGAATAGGATGAAGGAATTGGGAAGGGGGATTAAATGTATTCTGTTTGGAGGGCAAAAGTAGGAACAATCGGTAGACAAGGAGGTATTAACGATAGGTATCACAGGGAGGAAAATTTTAGCTCAAGGTAAGAAAAAGCTGCCTAACAATTAGCACAAGATTTAGTAGCTTCTACAATAAAGGATCAGAGGGCTTGGAATGTGATATTCCAGAGGGCAAAGGAGCTGGGATTGCAACCAAGAATCACCTGCCCAGCAAAACTGAGGATAATCCTTCGGGGATCAACTGTGAATGACTTAGCTTTTCTCAGCAATACAATGATCCAAGACAATTCTGAAGGACTTATGATAACAAACGCTATCCACCTTTAGAGAAAGAACTGATGGAGTCTGAATGCAGATTGAAGCATACCATTTTTTACTTTTTTTGGGTCTGTGTTTTCTTTTGTAACATGGCTAATATGGAAATATATTTTTCAAGACTGCAGATGTATAATCTGTATCACATTGCTTGCCTTCTCAAAGACAGATGAGAAGAAGGAGGGAAGGAAAGAATCTGGAACTCAAAATTTAAAAAAGTGAATGTTAAAAATTGTTCTTACATGTAATTGGAAGAAAAATAAAATATGAAAAAAAATTTTTTAAAGTTGATTTCTTCCCCAATCTTTCCCAGAGACAAATAAAGGGAAGGAACATGTAGGATACCACCTGGCATACTTGCTGCCCTGGCATAAGCCTAAAAGGAGGAGGACAGCCTATGCTAAAGACTATCTGTGCCCACTTTCCTTTTCCACAGAGGAAGAAAGCCAAACCCAGAAGGGCCATTCTGAACCACATCTTTTCTACTACTACTGAGGGCCCACGTTGACAGTGGCACTCACTGACCTCCTTTGGGAAAAAGGCTGAGGGCGGTTATTGGGAGCTGACGACAACCTACGTCCAAATGAAAACAGAGAATTCAAGAAGAGTCTCTTCCAGTGAATGTTACAGGCAGTAGAGGCAGGATCCCAAAAGGTCCTGATAAGTTGGAATGATGGATCAAACCTAACAAGAAAATAAATGCAAAGGCCTGAATTTATGTTAAAAAGTTCAACTTTAGAAGCATGGGTGAAGTTTTGACAAAGGAAGTCTTAAAGGAGATGTGTTATTTGCTTACAAATACCTAAAAGCTCTTACATAGAAGAAAGACTAGACTTACCAGTTCAGATCCAGAAGACAGAAAAAGGGCAGAGGCAGAAGTTACCCGAAGGCAAATTTCACATCAGTATAAGGAATGACTTTGAACAATTAGAGCTGTCCAAAAAATGTAAAGAGCCAATTCATGCAGCAGTGTGCTCATTGTCACTTTCCTCTATAATTGAGACCCTACAGTTAACTGACCCAGTAATACGCTGCCCCTCTCCTTGAATCCCTTGTCCCCTTCTTACCCCAGGTGACCCTCACATCTGCTTTCTCCACATGTGTTCCTGCGCAGCCGAATACTCCTGGAGGAAGCTGCACCATCATGCTGATGGGGTCTGCTGTAATCTCCTGCTATTTACAAACATCTATCATCTTCATGGGGCCCTCACTGCTCCATGGCAGTCCTCCCAGCTCCTTGATTAACCCCACAGAAGCCTTCTTTCTTTGTCCCTCCACCCCTGCCTCTTCCATTTTGCTGAGAAGGCCACAGTCCATCAGCTTTCCCCTCCTATTCTACACCTCATCCTGTATTCTCTCCTTTGCTAAGGCCCTTCACCTTGTCAGAGCCAGCCCCACTACCCGTGGCCTTCCATCTTCCCAGAAGCTTGTCCTTTCAACCATCCCCACTCTCCTTCCCTTCAAGTTTGCCTCCTTTACACATCACTGCCAGCCTCATAAACTGCACCTCTTCTCCATACCCAGAGCCCCAGCAAAGGCTCCCCGGCCCCATCTCCCACTTGCTTTCTAAGCCCTCGTCAATATGGCTGCCCACCCAGCTCACTCCAAGATGGCCTGTAGTCTTTATCCCTCCCTGCAGCGTTTGTCACGTTGCTCATTTCTGGTTCTCCTTTTCCCTGTCTGACCACTTCCTTCTTCATGGGCCTTGCTGGGTCATCGTCTGCCCAATTCCTCACTCTGTTACAACTCGACAGAGATGTCTTAGGAGCCTCCTAAGTGCTGGGGATTCTGCTAAGTGCTGGGGATAAGACTTTAAGAGCTACCATTCTATCCAAGGAAAACACAAGGACACACACACATAAACGCAACACACACACACACACACACACACACACACACACACACACACAAACATACAAAGAAATTACAGGATGGTAGAAACACTATACTACCAGCTGAGGGATCAGAGCTCGCTTCATAAAGAAGGTGGCCCTGGAGATACACTTTGAAGGAAATGAGGGATTTGAAGGGGCAGAGGTGAGAAAGGTGTGCTCTCCAGGCATGGGGCACAGCCTGGGTAAAGGTGTGGCACAGGAGATGTAATGTCCACAGGAAGTGAAGGGCAGTAATGCATGACCAGTCTGGAAAGCAGGCAGGAGCCAGACTGCAAAGGGATCTCAGTGTGCTTGGAGGCAGTGGCTTTGGCTCAAGAAGTCACCAGCTTATAAGGGGGTGTGAAGTGGACAGCGAGGAGAGAGACTGGAGGTGGGGCTAAGAGGAGAAGGCTCTGGCAATCCTCCAGGTGAGCAGAAATGGGAGTCTAAAGGAAGCAGCGGCTCTGAATTCTCTTCCTCTCCCACCTCCAATTCCTGGAATCTCTGACTGCCTTCAAGTGGCTGAGCTCAGGCTCCATGTCTTACAGGAGCTTTTCTCAGTCTCGCCATTTGTCAGTGCTCTCCTCTTCCTCCAATAATCCTGAATTTGCACACACTGCATTCTACTGGAGAACAGAATGGATGGGGCTTGAAGGTAAGGACCACTTTTCACTTTTGTCTCTAGTCTCTCTGGTGTAGTAGATTTTAAATGATTCCTCCATAATGTAAAGGAATCTATAAAGAAGGCAAATTTAAAGAGATCTTCAAAATACACTATTTCAGAAATGAAAACAAAAATGTCATCAACTTCCTAGTGCAGAAACACAAGGCGCCATCAACACATAGTAGTGAGTACATAAAGAAAGAAAGGCACAGGTTACATGAACCCTCACCTACAACTAACTCAGGCAGCAGAACAGGTGAGGGCCACAGCCTTGTTAATTCCTCTGCTGGAAGAGAATTACTGCAGAAACTTCCTGAAGAAGGGGTTTCATCATCTCTGCCACCTTTCCAGACCAAAAGGAGAGGATGCCCCTCCTCATGGAAGGAGCAGGGGGGAGTCACATGACAGTGACTCTGCTTCATCCCCAGGTGAGCAGAATCATGGATTGCTGCTGTAGTTGAGGCTGAGTTGTTTCAGTTGTGTCCGACTCCATCACCCCAAGTGGGGTTTTCTTGGCAGAGATAATGGAGTGATTTGCCACTTCCTTCTCCAGCTCATTTTACTGAGGAAACTGAGGCAAACAAGGGTAAGTGACATGCCCAGGGTCACACAGTTACTAAGTGTCTGAAGCTGGATTTGAACTCAGGAAGATGAGTCTTTCTGACTCCAAACCCAGTGCTCTATCCACAGAGCCACATAGCTGCCCAAATAATGAAGACATTTGGGAAGGCCTGGATCTCACACCTGTAGGCTGGCGTTGAGGATTTCACCTGTTCCAAATTATTGCCCAAGTTTCTAATGAGGAGCCCCTGGTATAACTTCTCTTTTCTCTCTTCTCATACTTCTTCCCAGGGTAAGGAGAAAGAAAAAAGAATGAAAATAAACAATGAGAAAGGTAGGGAAAGAGAACTTAGTTTTTGGACATACTAAAGCCCAGCACAACTGACTTATGGGCAGAATCTATGCAAGTGAAGAGAAAAGCTGTGTTATCAGTATTTTAAAGACAAAACCTGTTACAAGACTGTGATGGATACAAATTTCCTAGCCAGGCCAGAAATTTCAAGCTTCCAAAAAGACAGACACAAAGAGCTCCTTTTCTTCTCTCTGCACTGACTGTCCTCACTACCATCCACCCAAGCTAGAATATCACAACAAACCCAACAAATAGGGAATGCGGTCAGTCCTCGATTACAGAAACCATAAAAAGGAAAAAGCCACAAAGTGAATCAGCATGTGTGTGCCTGAGGGGCAGGAAAGGCAGAGGGGAGGAGGAGAAGGGAAGAAATCATCTTGTACAAATGGGATAATTCTGTGTCAGGAGAACTCCGCACAAACATGCCAGTCCCAGGAAGTTAGGGGCAAAGGAAACTCATAGGAGCCGTCTGCACCAGCCACCTCTGAGCTCCTTCCCACGCTGGCATATAGGCCTGTATATCTGTATGTCAAAAGTCAACACAGTTTTGAGAAATCTGCTTGTGAATTATGTCCAGAGTCAGGGCAGCCTCTCTGCCATGGGGGTCTTAGAGGGGAAAGGAGAACAATGTTGGTAATGATGGGACTCACTTGTTGCTGTCCTTGTATTCATAGATGTGACATCCTTGAGGCATCCCAGTGTCCTGGTCCAGAGTGAAAGCAAGTTTTAGCTGTAGGAAGGAAAGAAGAGAAACATGAGGCGGTGTTAGGTGGCACATTCCAACCATCCTCTAGCTGAAACGAAGGCAGCAACAGAAGCCACGAAACTCATTCCAGCTGATATCTCCACCCTGGGCTCTGGTGTGCAATACAGGAGACCACAGAGTCCTGCAAAGAACCAGCTCTGGGCAGAAAGAGGTTTGTGGGCATAAAGGAGTGCTTTGGGTCAGTCACAAGGGAGTCCCAAGGCAGAGAGGAGACAGAAGCACCTAGTGCTCGTGGCTGCAGGAGAACAGGATTTGGTCATGGTTTCAGGACCAAGAGGAATGCTAGCAGCTACAGGGGAACGGGTATCCTTCCCAGGTAAAGGCCAGAACACAGACCTGGAAGTAATGACACCCCCCCCCCCCCCCCCGCTCCCAGGATGACACCACTTTGGAAGCGCCAAAAACTTGCAGACCCCCAGAACCGGCTCTGCAAACAATAGCACAGAAAAGCCTGAAGCTTGGGACGATACCTAGGTGGCAGAGTTCAACTTTATTAATATAAAGTCCAAAGTTAAGAAATAGGCTAGAAAAAAATGGGTAAAAAGTAAAAACCAAAAAACAAAAAAAAAAACCAAAAAACAAAAAAAACTTGACTATAAAAAACTATTACAGCGGCAGGGGGATCAAGACATTAACTCAGAAGAGGACAACAATGTGAAAACAGTTACATAAAGAGCCTCAAAGAAAAATGCTAATTGGACCCAAGCCCAATAAGAATTTCTGGAAGAATTAAAGAAAGAGATAAGAATGGTAGGGAAAAAATTGGGAAAAGAAATGAAAGTGATGCAAAAAAAAACTATGAAAAAAGAATTAACCGCTTGGTAAAAGTGTCACCAAAAATACTGAAGCAAATAACACCTTAAAAACTGAATTAGCCTAATGGTGAAAGAAGCACAAACAGTCACTGAAGAAAAGAACTCCTTAAAAAGCAAAACTGATCAAAGTTACAAAAGCTCACTGAAGAAAATAATTCCTTAAAAATTAGAATTAGGCAAGTGGAAACTAATATCTCCACGAGACATCAAGAAACAATAAGACAAAGTCAAAAGAATGAAAAAAAAATGGAAGAAAATGTGAAATCTCATTGGAAAATAGAGCCAGAAGAGATAATTTAAGAATTATTAGATTACCTAAAAGTCATGATTAAAAAAAAGAGCCTAGACATCATATTTCAAGAAATCATAAAGGAAAATTAACCTAATATCTTAGATCTAGAGGGTTAAATAGAAATTGAAAGAATCTACCAATCACCTCCTGAGGTGAGATGAAAACTCACAGGAATATTATAGCCAAATTCCAAAGCCCCCACGTCAAGGAGAAAATATTGTAAGCATCCAGAAAGAAATCATTCAAATATCATGGAGCCACAGTCAGGATCACACAAGATTTTGCAGCGTCCATGTTAAAGAACAGGAAGTCTTGGAATGTGATATTCTGGAAGGTAAAGGAGCTAGGACTGCAACCAAGAATAACCTACCCAGCAAAGCTGAGTATAGTCCTTCAGGGGGAAAAAAATGGACACTTAATGAAAGAGATGACTTTCAAGCATTCCTGCTGAAAAGACCAGAGCTGAATAGAAAATCTGACATTCAAACACAAGACTCACGAGAAGTATAAAAAGGTAAACATGACAGAGAAATCATAAGGACTCAATGAGGTTAAATTGTATACATTTCTATATGGGAAGATGATACATGCAAGTCCTAAGAACTTCATTATTATTAAGGCAGTTAGAAGGAGTCTACACAGACTGAAGGCATGAATGTGAGTTGATTCTGTTTGGATGATCTCAAAAAAAAAACCCCAAAAAAATAACAAAACACCCCGAAGGACTGAGAAAAAGAGATGCATTGGAAGAAAGAGGAAGGGAGAAGTAAAATGGGAAAAATTTTCTCACACAGAAGTATGCAAGGAAGAGTGTTTATAGTGGAAAGGAAAATTATGTAAGGGAGGTGGCAGGCAATGCTTGAACCTCACTCTCATTAGAAGCAGTTCAAAGAGGGAAGAAAACATACACACACTCAGTTAGGTAAAGAACTCTATCTTACCAACAGGGAAATAGGAGAATAGGAGGACAAAGAGATAAGAGGTATGGGGTCTGGCGAGGGGGATGATAAAAGGGAGCACAGATTAAAGGAGGCAGTGGGCAGAAGCAAAACAGACTTTTGAGGAAGGAGAGGATAAAAAAAGAGAAAAATAAACAGAAAGAAAATGGGATGGAGGGAAATACATGGTTAGTAAGCATAACTGTGAATGTGAGTGGGATGAGCTCACCCATAAAACAGAAGTTGTTAGCAGAATGGATGAGAAACCAGAATCCAACAATATGTTGTTTACAAGAGACTTGCTTGAAACAGAAAGAAACAGTTAAAATAAAGGCTGGAGCAGAATCTATCATGCATCAGCTGAAGTAAAAAAGGTAGGTGTAGCAATCACAATCTCAGATAAAGCAAAAGCAAAAATAGACTGAATTAAAAGCGATAACATTTTGTTAAAAGGTACCATAGACAATGAAGGAGTATCAAAAAATTTTACAGTAAATTTTTCTATAAAGGCCTCATTCCTCAAATGTATACAGAATTGAGTCAAAACTTGAAAAAAAAAAAAAAGAGCCATTCCTTAATCAATAAACGGCCAAAGGATTTGAACAGTTTTCAGATGAAGACATCAAAGCTCTGTATAGTCCTATGGAAAAATGCTCTAAATCACTGATAATTAGAGAAATGCAAATTAAAACAACTCTGAGGTACCACCTTACACCTATAACAAACGACAAATGCTGGAAGCGATGAAGGAAAATAGGTACACTAATGTTAAACTATTGGTGGAGTTGAGAACTGGTCCAACCACTCTGGAGAGCAATTTGGAATTATGTCCAAAGGGCTATCAAACTGTGCACACCCTTTGACCCAGCAATACCGCTGCTGCGTCTGTATCCCAAAGAGATCAAAGATAAAGGAAAGCGAGGGGATGCTCATCAACTGGGGAATGGCCGAACAATCGACGGAGTGACTGTGAGGGAATACGATCGTGCTATAAAAAATGATGCAGAGTGTGGTTTCAGGAAAAAAAACCATGACGAGACCTACATGAACTGATGCAAAGGGAAGTGAGATGAGCTGGGAGATCACTGTGCACAGGAACAGCAAGGTTATGATGGTGATCAACTGGGGAACACCTGGCTACTCTGATCAGCACAACGACCCAAGACGACTTCACTCGGGATGCAAAACGTCATCCACCGCCAGAGAGGGAAGCGATGAACTCTTCGTGCAAACTGACCTATCATTTCCTTGCTTTCCTTATTTTTGGTGATATGGCTCATACGGAAATAGGTTTTGCATGATTTCACATGCGTGACTGATATGATTTTGCTTGCTCTTCAGTAAGTGGTGGCGGGGTGAGAGGGAGGGAGAGAATTTTGAACTCAAAATATGTTAAAAATAAATTTATTTAAAAAAAACCCCAGCTCTACTGGCATCAAGAAGGGCTGAGGCTGACAGTGGTCATCTATTCCACCCAGAGGCACAAACAGATAAGCCTTTTTCTAGCCTCTCTCACCTCCCCACAGCTCTCGCGGCTTATTTCAGAGCTACAAGGAACGTAAACGTAAAGTGATGGTCGATCCCTCCGCGAGGCCCTTGACAGCACTGACGTTCTGAGGCGGGCGTCTGTCCACTACCAGTTGTGGCTCCCTGCCCGCACCACTCCCCGTGTCCACCTGGGAGCCGTGGCGGCCGTGACGGCTCTTCTCCTTGAGACTCAAACGCTGAAGCCACCCGGGGGGTGGCAGACAGTCAAGCACCCGTGGGAGTCCACTGATGAACAGGTATTTCTTTCTACTGTGCACAAGGCACCATGTGCTGATCCTTTCACCAGGTAAGGGGCAGTCCTCTGATCTGGCTGGCAGTTGCCTTCTAGACAAAGAGGAAGGCTCCAAGACTCGGGGATTATGTAGTGTTCTTTCTGGGAGCCTGGAAGATACGGCCGAATCTGCCAGGACCCTCCTTCTCCATGAACCACTTGGCTCTGTCCCAACTGTTACCAGTGTTCAAAGTAGTTACCAAGACCCTTCAGGAAGAGATGCTCAGCTCCACTATGAATGGTGCCCGGGCAGGAGAAGGGAGAAACATTTGAGTGAGAAACACTAAGAGGAAGTCTGGATTCCTGTGGGGTGAAGCATGGGTGAAGGTCAAGGGAATTGGAGGGGTCTCCCCATTTCGTTATCCAGGCCAAAGTCGAATGCAGTTCTGTGTGGACCGCTGGAACTGAGCCCGTTATGCTCTGCCTAACCCTTCCAAATGACAACATACCAAGGACCCCTGCTGAGCCAATAACTTTGCTTACAAATTCTTCAAGATTCTGGATTACCAGGGAATTATTAGTGAAAACTAACTGCCTATTAGGAGACTACTTTATTAAAACTTTTTTTTTAAACCAGAATGTTGTTAGCATAGCTAATGTGCTGTATCATTAGAAGTTGGATAAGCTGTCTCTTCCTTAGGGGGAATGAACATTTAGTAATGGATGTCCTCTTACTGACCCAAGTGAAAAGACGACAGCAGAAACAAACCCTTCTACCCTGCTGAGAAGCCAAGACCTTCACGCCAAAGCCAAGCCTTTACTAGTCTACATCCTGCCCTTTCCAACACCCCACTGCACCCTCCTCCTCGCTACCTTCCCACTGCAAGCTGAAACCACATCTCTGCTCATCCGCCCCCCCTCAGATGGCTCAGGGGGCTCCACACCTTCCCTCTGCTTCAGCACAACTGGCTCTTGGTCCTGCCCAGCCCCCAGCTTCTCCCCGGGGCAGCCCTTCTGGACTCCTCTGGCACCCTCTGATCGCTCTCACCTTGGCCACAGAGTCTGGCTGGTGGGAAGGGAGGACGGTACAAGTTCTCAGCCCTAGACTCAATCTCAATTCCTCTATGCTTTTAGAAGAAAAGAAAATCCATCTCTTGCAA